TACCATGAACTTTAGCATACTGAGAAACATCCTCCGGCGATGCATGGCAGCATATGTGGCTGTGGCGGTGGATTTAGTACAAGCAATGAAAGAGCCACTTATTTTCCGAGCACCCAACAGAAACTTGAAGCCGCGGAGCTATCATCGTACATGGAAAAATTGGAAGCTCAATTCTACTGAAAATTCAAAACAATTGCATTTTTGTTTGTAGGGTTAGAAGTCTGAAATGGTTCTTATGCCAATGTCTCAAACGTAATTACCATATAACGCAGAGAAAGATCATATGGGCAACTTGCAGGAGGTGCGGTTATGCCCAGTCCTATTGCAACGGCTGAACTTGCAGAAATTTTTCTTCCTCGGACACTAAATATGTACGTGTTAATTAGAGTCAGTATTAGACGGACATATGTAAATATACGTCGACGTATAAGGACAGGAGAGTATAAGGACACTATATATAGCACTATACTAGATACCTTATACTCCCCTGTTGAGAGGTATATACTACACTTTGGCCTACTTGGTGGCCTCCTCGTCTTTGGTGGATGGACATTTATCGCAGCCACATCGGGGGGAACCACATACACACTGTCCAATGCAGGCACCGGGTTTATGCTTTCATGATAGGCGAGATGCCAGTAAAACGTCCCATACTCTGCAGCCACAATCGTGGGGATATGAACGTCACCCTTACTCGCCGCCGCAACAGCACGACAGCACAATATCTTTAAATGGCTAAACTCCTCACACGTGCACATTTTGTGGTGGAAGTCCACATGGTAAGATAAGTCGGTACGTGTTTTTACTTCGTAGTGGTCTTTGTTGATTTGTAAGACGTTCCAAGCCATGGACTGCTCGTAGTTATTATGAATGAGATCTCCCACTTTCGGTGTCATCGGTGAAGTATGGTTCGCCACCACATCTCTCCACTTGCTAAACCAAGACATGAGTGTACCACAGATGAATTCTAGCATAGAAACAATTGGCAACTCCCGAGCTTCTTTTAGTGCGGCGTCAAGAGACTCTGCTACGTTACTCGTCATTACGTTGTACCATTCACCATCACAATGAGACCTCGTCCAGTGGTGGAAACCTATGGTATTCAAGTACTCAGCACACTCCGGTGACATCCCTTCAATCTCTGCAAAGTACTTGTGGAAGGTGGATCTCCGATAGGCACGAGCTGCTTTGGAAATCACACGCGCCAGAGCCTTATTTTTAAAATTCACCGCCACATTCCTCTGTAGATGCACGATGCATGCTCCGTGTGTGGCCCTTGGGTACTCCTGAATTTTAAAGTCACTGGGCACGCAACCCCACAACAGTCAGAATGCAACATGATTGAAACATTGGTGAAGAATAACCACCCACAAGTAAATATATGTAGTTATATTTATATACCTTATACAGCCCCGCATAGATTGACGAATGCCGATCAGAAACAAAGACCAACTAATCGTCATCGGGCACGATATGCTTCAACTTCTGAAAAAACCATTCCCACGCCTTATCATTTTCTCCATATATGACTGCAAACGCCAGAGGGTAGATTTTTGGAAGTTACCATCTTGTGCACTCGCCGTCAACAAGCACCCTATGTACTTACCTCTAAGGTGAGTTCCATCGACAATAAGCACCTTGCGCATGAACTGCAAACCACGGACACTACCACCCAGCGCCAGGAAGCAGTATTTGAACCACTTGTTTTCGGACTCATCTTCTTCTGTTTCAATGGCCGTTACAGACCCCGGATTGCTAAGCTGAAGAAAATGCATGTACACAGGTAAGAGGCTGTAGCTACCAGCAGCAGAGCCATTTGCCTTATCCATAGCCATCTCCCTAGATTTCCAGGCTTTCTAATAAGAAATGCTAACGTGATGGTGCTCCAGCATATCCCGTACGACTGCAGATGGGTTTGGACCTTGCTGCTCCCCCATATAACGCTCTCTCATCATTTCCGAAATGACGGAAGTTATGGCTTGGCGGTGAAACTGCCTATACACATCGACCGGATAATTGTGATCCAGGGTTGCAGTTCGAATTTGAAAGTATTGGGTATCTTCAATACGAACAACGTATACCCTCCACAGACAGGTGTCGGAGAGGCATCACACCACCACGTAGTCATTGTTGGACCTCTCATTATGGTAACTGAACCTCCTATTGATGGCATGGACAGCTATCTTAACTTTGCAGTCTCGTTTGTTTTTGAAAACACGGCCCAAATACAGCTCGTCCCCCTCGTATTCTACATCCAATATGACATTTTCAGTCTGATCCAATCCTGTGAAAAGAAGTCCACAAACAATTTAAATATCCATATGTTAATGTAGGGGTTCATTTAATTTTATTTAACGACCAGACATCCTGGACGATTACAATTGTCTATGACTATCCATTAATATAAATAGATATCTATACGATAGAATAGTTTGTCATATATGTACGGGATTATATCAACATTAGCAGCCAAAATAGCAAATAACATTTTATACATATCTTACATATACTCAGATAACACTACATTATTTTTAATGGACCAATATAAAATCTTCACATCATCACAGATCGGGGACATTATGTACCTTCATCGTCAGAGTCATCTAGCACTGGGGCTGCATCCCTTGCAAACGAGAATGGGGGTATCCCATCAGCCGGCAACCCACCCATCTGGTTGTCAGAACCATCATGGAGGTCACCGTTACCTGCGATGCCCTCAGTTTCATAGCCTGCGACCACAATAAATGTTCCATCGATTAAGGCCAAATGGAGTAAAAACTCAGGTACAGATCTGGGTATGACCATTTATTACACCCTTTTCTATTCCCCATTTCTTATTCTAAGTCAATAAAAAGTCAATGGACGCATATACACGCGGACACCATAAATCACACATGTCTGAGTATCTGCTCCAGATATCCCTCCATTCCTTTTGTCCCCCTCACGTGCACCTACGCCACCGTACATACCTGTCACAGTAATCAATGAGATTTTTTGTCCTTCCTACGTTTACAAAGGTTTGTAAGGATTTATATTTTTTTTACCGTAAATCCTGTGGCTCGGGAACAAATCTCGTAGAGGGTGAACTCTTTCGGAAGATTTACCGACGTCGGAGATGTTAAGATCCGGGTGGAGTGGTCGTGAGCCATATCCACTGTCGCTGTCCACTATGCGCTTGTCCTTCGTTGGAACGACGTTGCTTTGTGGCGCATCCAACCGACACGCGAGCCACGACATTGTGACATGTCAGCTCGACTCCCTTTCGTCTTGGGTGTCTGTGGGTGGCTGCGTCCCCGAGAAGTTGTCGCTGCTACTAGACGATGGGACATTGACATGGAGTGGGCCACTTGGACTACTTCGAACCACCTCTGCCAAAGCAAAACCATGGGTCACCGGCACCACCGAAAATCCTTCGATATCCAGAGTCATATTCTTTGGCATCGGAACCACATAGAGCTTCAGCTCGTGGAGGTCAACCCGTATAGCGAGGAACATGTCAATGTCAGCGTCGTTTCGGATATGGACCGGCACAGGCTTGACAATTCCATCCGAGTCCATCCATTCCGGCATCTCGTACGTGAGCTCGATATTCTCCTCATCCATGTTGATGTGTAGTTCTCTACACACCGTCGCCTTTACCGAGGCTAATCCTTCCCCCTCTCGTAGCGTAATGCCTTTGCTGAGCCGGTCCTCTAGCAACACAAAGCGCCACATGCCCCCCGCATCCGTCATCCACCACCCCTGTTCCGCTAGCACCAGATCGCTGAGGACTTCCCAAAGTTGCACCATTGTCGATGACCCTCGAAGATATCTGGTTCACATCAACGTTGTTATTAATGTCAGAAGCACTTCAACATCATACATAGATATTCATAAACGACATGACCAAATTCAGATTATACGTTACCTGCTCAAACCGGTTGTAGCGCTATATGGTATTAGATGCAGGGACCTACTATTTATGAACACTTCACAAACCTAGGTATACCCATATATTTTCATTTTCCCGCCCACTCACTCAAAAAATCTTGTTCTAGCATGACTAATTCATAATAACTATCCATCCCTTCAAAATATCTCATGCATACGTCAGACGGCTTGAAGATTATCTTGTTTCTTCATTTAATGCCATCCGACAGCTATCTGATCTCACCAACATCTCATTCAACTTAATTCAATTGTTATTGATATAATCAGATTTATAGTAAGAAGTACATGGCAATCCGCGTAATTAGATGAACTTGGTTTTTTCTTTCGGCATCTTTTAATCATTTCCTTCTAGCGTATGAACGATTTGTTGTTTTGCTAATAAACACCTCAAACTTAGCCACCCACCTCTATATAACATATTTTTTCTGAATCGAGTAGAACTGTTTTATTTTCCACGTTTAATTATGAAGAGGAGAAAGATACAAGCGACGGATGACAAAAAATTTCCTGACTTTTTTCAAATCTATTCCCTGACCAAAAAAATTGATTTTTATATTTCGTAGCTCTGCATGACCAAATGTAAATATAGGCTATAAATTATTCCGTAGCTCTGCATGACCAAATCCATAGCAATCCACGATGAGTTAATTATTCTTTTGATTGGACAATACAAATAAAAAGAGTGAAGCCATGACCACCACAGAAGTTATTGACATCAATCAAATACCACTTTAAACATAGGGTTTTTTATTCATTATAAATATATGTGTATACTTACTGTAAATAACGTAGTTGTTTGGGAAAACATATAGTTTTTTAGTAATTTCTCATTCAACAACTACCGTCCCCTCCCCTCACCATAAACCTGTAGTATCTTCTTGTTCATGTAACTTGTTGGATAAAAAAAGAAGAGAAAACTTAGTCAAAGTATGAGTTTGAAACCAAAGTGCAGCCCAAGTCATGGTTTGCTATGGCTCTATACCATCATCATCAACTAATTTAACTATTTGGTACAAAGTTATAACATACAATGCAATTCATATAAATCTGGTAGTAGCTTTTTCATCTTCTCAATCTTTTTTACCTTTGTTGTCTTCATCACCTTTCAGAAATTTCATGAACCAATAAGCAGAAGATTTTGGATGACGGGTTAAACCGTTCTTGTAGTCTACATATACCAAACCAAATCTCTTGGTAAAACCTTGAGCCCACTCGAAGTTGTCCAGCAACGACCACGCAAAGTATCCCTGTATGTCCACTCCATCTCTGTTTCAGTTTTCATCATTAACAAAACATATTAATGAAGAGAGAAATGTTGCTACAAGACATATGAATGAAGAGAAAAATGTTGGCTCACTTGATAGCCTCAGCGACATTGGCAAGGTAACTCTTGAAATAAGCAACTCTACGCTTATCGTCGAGCATATCATGGATTGAAGCAGAACCGTCATCTTCATCATCCATGCCTGTCAGGTTGTATCAAGAGATCCAAAGCTCAAGAACAGAAACAAAGTATTCGCTCATCTCTAGAAACAAATGGCAACTTAATTTGGAAAATGAAACTGTTTTACTCTTCTTAACAGATTATGCATTGTGCCATATTAAACTGAACTATAGAGTTATAAGGATAGGTAAATACCATTTTCAGTGATGAAAATTGGAGGGTGGTTATATTTCTTGCTGATGTAATTCAAAGTCTTTCGGATTCCCCAAGGCACAACATAAAGCCAATCAGAAGCAGCCTGTAATTGTCACAAATTGTACAGTTGATTATCAGTTACCACTAGCTCATGCATACTTGCCTTCAGCATATGTGCAGTCATTGGATTAAGAAGAGAGTTCTTACCCTGTCGCCTATCGGCTCTCCATCTTCCCATTCAACTGTGCACAGAAAAGAAGAGAGGATGATTACTAGAACGTAAGAAAGAAGATGCTTGTGGTAAAATAAATCCCAGTGATTTGTGTTTTTGTTACCAATTCTCTCCACTTCTTGTGCTTGGTAAAAGTCACTCTCAGCTTCTTTGTTTGAGACGTGAGCAATTAGCCTCGAAGTGTAGTGGTTTAGGCCAAGAAAGTCCCATGAGTTTTGAAGCATAAGCTCCTTTTCTTCCTGAGTAAACGTAGGAAGGTTATCTCCAAGTTTCTGGCGCATGCTCGCAGGATAGTCTCCATAAAACAAGGGATCCAAGAACCTGCAAAAGATTTCAATTTGTTATTTCAAGGAATAATATGAAAATTTTCAAGTCCTTTGACGCACAGTTAGCAATCCTCTCCTCACAAAGATAACATTTACAAAAATGATAAACTAGAAACTTAGAAAGCAGAGATCCATTTACTACAGAGATTTATAGCTCAACACATCAGCAATACGATTCCATTCCATAATCATTACGATTAAGAAAGCACTCAACGCATATTTTACTTACCATCCAAGTTGAAAGTCGATTCGCCTACCAGCAGCAACCTTATCCTCCACTTTCTCTGAATTTGGCTCTGCCCACTCACAATCAACTGACAATCCGATTTGTCCGCCTTGACTTTCCTAGATAAATGTATTTAAACCAAAAAGCACACTGGTAAATAACAAGCAAATGAGACAGACAATGGTCGGTCAGTTAGCGACTATACCTTGTACTTGCTTCTATATATGGAAACAGCAGTTGCATGAGCCAAAACTTGATAATGTGATACCAAATATGGTTCGATCAAGGGCTTTTCATTTCTTCCAGGTGCAAATATGCCAATACAGTGTCCATTCACCGAGGTCTGGAGTGGCTCATTCAATGTGATCCAGTGCTTCACTCTATCACCAAAACTGGCAAAACAAGCATCTGCGTAGAGGCCAAAATAATCTCTGCACGCGAAGAAAAGATTTAGGGTTAAAACAATCAATTCTACAAGAACTATTGCTGGTAATATTTTAAGCTATACGAAGGCTTCATATACGAATTGTGGAAGAATGCAATACATTAGTTTACTGAAGCATAACCTAAAGACAACTTTCACAAGAAAGGATTCATACACAAGACTTCACAGAGATAGTTGTATTTCTGCTTTCTCAAGATCTTAGATATAAATCGAAACAGTCTAGTACGATTTACTACTTACACTATTTTCCTGTTTGTCCAACCTCCGATTGATTCCTGGAGATGTGAGGGGAGATCCCAATGGTACAGAGTTACAAACGGCTGAATACCTGCAACAGTAATCATCGTGTGAAAACGATCATCTACACAAAGTGGAAAAGGCTCGTTTCGGTCAGAGAAAATACCCTTTTCAAGAAGTGTATTGATGATATTATTGTAGAAAGCAACGCCTTCTTCATTGACTTCAGTTCCCAAGCCATCTAGAGAACAAATGTAAAAACCCCTTCAATCAGCAAACCTTTCTATACTTCAAAAGGACCTGAAAACAAGTACGAACACTGCTACAGAGTTTTTCTTATGGCCCCAAGCTTAAATGCTAAAAGGAAGCCAACGACTCTGAAAATCCTAATATGATGTGTTCCTCTCACCTTGGATGTTTTAGGAAAACATTGATCCATCATTGAGAGAAACAAAATGCTCCACGAAAATCAGAGATCAAATGATGAAGGTTCCAAGGCAAGTCAACCTCCCACAATGGGATATTTGCATTAGACAAAGTCACAAAAATAATCTTATCATGCAAAGAAATATCTACTTGACATTGTCATTTGTCAACAACTAGCACATATGCTACTGATTAGTGATCGTATTTATCACACATAAAAGAATCTACCACTACGCAAATATGGAGATTTAAGTATAAAGACAGAGATGACTAACAAAAGAAGAACAAAAAACCGAGTCATAATGAAATACAAATGAGGAGCCACACTACTGTATAAGAATATCCACATTTCAGTTCAAAATGGATAAAAGACAGAAATATAGTAGCAAAATTGAAATGAAAATATAGTGAACATACCAGGGAAAATGCGAGACCACGATATGGAAAATCTGTAAGCGCTGAATCCTAATTTTCCTATAAGTTCAATGTCCTCCTGAAAATGATCGGGAAAACAATGTTATATTGTGAAAGAAATAAAGAACCCATTTATCAAGCTTTCATATCGAACCATAACATTAACAAAAAAGGTCCCTTTTCTTAACCTTATACTTGTGGTAATGATCAACAGCGACATCGCCGTTACTTCCATCAAGAACTTTTCCTAAATCAGAGGAAACAAAGAGTTAAATCTACATAATAGCCGCCATCGTTTGACATGAGAAAAGCTTAAAAAGAACCACATACCTTCAAGATGAGTGAACTTGTCCCATATACTTGGCCCTTTTTTACCTTCATTCCAGCCTCCTTCGATCTACAAACAATCAATACTATAGGTTAGTGAAAAACTAAAACTTTGATGGTAAAAAATACAAAACTTCCCATATAATGCATCAAAGTTTCTACAAAATGTTGGATGGTTAAGCCACAATTTTCAACCACAATTGATATAAAGACAATCTGTTCAGCTTAAATGCAATTTGAACAGCAAAAAACTTTCATCCTTTATTCAATCAACATTTCCAGAAAATCCAAGTAAATCAGGAAGATTCACAAACTCGACTTCTTAAACGCGAAGACTTAACTAATGATTCCAAAATTCAAGTTTCCGACTAAAACCTCTCTACCTGAAGGACTAGACAATGATACCATTGAGGCAAAAGTTTGATTTTTTTCCTAAATAAATCAACATTTCCAGAAAACCAACTAAATCAAGAAATCGGTACACCAAAAAGTAGAGAAAAGAAGATGATGAGAGAGTCCAGATCGGGGAGACCTGGTAAGCGGAAGTGGCGACGCCGAAGGTGAAGGTGGAGGGGAAACTTGAGCGGTGAGTAACCGGAGGGACGGCGAGATTAGCCAAGTTAAGCTTCTGCGCCATTTCGATTAGATTGGAGAATCTGATACAATAACACAAAGTGTGCGTAATAGACGCAAGATGCAAAGGCTACGGAGACAAATTCAAAGGCTACACAGGTGTTATTGGTTATTGTATGTTAATGGATTTGAGAATTCAAACCAAATTCAATGTTATTGAATCTTGTATTTTAAAATTTATATTGAAATACAGTGTTATTGGTTTTATGATTTTAAAATCTATAATGAAATATAGTATGATTGGTTCTATCATTTTAGAATCTAAATATTATAAGGATTTGAGTTTTAATTGAATTTGAATGGATTTAGAATGATTTTCATGACTAAAATACAAAGATCCAAATACAAGGTCTAACCTTGGTATTTGAGTGGATTTGATTTTTTTCTATTTTGCTGATTTTGAAATCAATAAATTTATCAAATCCAAAGAAGATTTATAAATCCACCAAAATACAAGAACCAATAACCCCTAAAATGTATCAGACTATCAGTGTTTTCTAAACCATACCGGATTAGCCGGTCTATGACAACCTAAAGATATCCGGTTTGGTTTATCATCGATATGCAAACCGGTTAAATTCTATGAACTGGTTTGAATCAGTAAACCACCAAAGTTGCAGTCTATCATATACATATACAATAGAACCTCTATAAATTAATACTTGATAAATTAATAATCACTATAAATTAATAATTTTTACCTGTCCTAAATCGGACCAATGTAAAAATTGACAAAATTCGATAAGATAATAAGATAATACTTTTTTGAAAGTTCTATGTAAAAATATGGTCCCAATAATAATATAAATTAATAATTATATATTTATGCATATATTAATAATATAATATAGTAAATTATGATAATATTGTTGTTTCAAGTTTATAAAATTTGTTTGATTTCTCTTCTAAATTCAGTATTATGACATTTTTTGAATGAATTTTACATTGTTGAAAATATTGATTTTATTTTTTTGATGAATATTAAAAATTCAAACTAAAAATATCTCTATAAATTGATAAATATTAATTTATCGATAAACTAAAAATTATTAATTTATCGATTAATTAATAACTCTATCAATTAATAAAATTTGAGAGTCCCAACATTATTACTTTATAGAGGTTTTACTGTAAGGGAGAAAGAGGTAGATGGCAAGATTCCAGACTTTTATTAGGGAATCAACAAAACAGATATGAGCTAGAAGGAAATGGCACAAGGATGCCCAAAAAAAAAAATTCATTCTAATTACGACGTCTGCCATATACCGCGCGTGGTTATTATGAGGTAGAAGAATATGTTTCGAACAATTGAATTTACGATCGCGTAGTGTTGGTGAAACAAATACGCGTCGGAGTGCATTAAATGGAGAGACAAGATGATCTGTACGCCGCCTGACGTATGCATGGGATAAGCTGAGGGGATGGATAGTTATTGCGATTTACTAATGTTAGAACAAGATTTGTGGACCTAGTGGGCGGGAAAGTGAAAATATCTGCGTACACCTAGGTATGTGGAGTGTCCATAAATAGTGGTTCCTTCCCTCTAATATCATGTAGCGCTGCAACCGGTCTAAGCAGGTATATATATTATGGTCCAGGCATTTCGTTTGTGAATATCTATGACTAATATTGAAGTGCTTCTGTGATTAATAACAACAACGTCGTGAACCAGATATCTTTGGGGAATACAACAATGGTGCAACTTTGGGAGCTCCTCGGCGATCTAGTCCGGGCGGAACAGGGGTGGTGGATGAAAGATGCGGGAGGCATGTGGCGATTTATTTTGTTAGAGGACAGGGTAAGCAAAGGGATTAAGCTACATGAGGGGGAGGGGATAGACTCAGTGAAAGCAACAGTGTGTAGAGAGCTATGCATCAACATGGATGAGGAGAATATCGAACTAATGTACGCGATGCCGGAGTGGATGGACTCAGACGGAGTTGTCAAGCCTGTGCCGGTCCACATCCGAAACGACTCTGACATGGACATGTTTCTCGCTATGCGGGTCGACCTCCACGAGCTGAAGCTCTATGTGGTTCCGCTGCCGAAGGATGTGACTCTTGATATCGAAAGTTTTTCGGTCGTGCCGGTTACACACGGTTTTGCTATGGCAGAGAGCAGCGACAACTTCCAGGGAACGCAGCCGCCAGCAGACACAAGACGAAGGTGAGTTGAGCCGACATGTCACCGTGTCATGGCTGGTGTGTCGGTTGGGTGCAGCGCAATGCAATATGGTTGCAATGAAGGACAAGCGCGTTGTGGACAGCGACAGTGGATGTGGCTCAGTACAGCCCCACCCGGATCTTAACATCCCGGACATCAGAGAATCTTCCGAGAGGGTCTATCCTCTGCAAGATTTGATCCCGAGCCACGATATGGACAGTGATTAACATTATAAATGACTAAAAAAATGTAGAGATATGTAAGATAAACAACTAATTGGCTGCTCTGACATGTGTAGACGGTGGCGTATCGACACGTGAGGGGGACAAAAGGAATGAAGGGATATCTGGAGCAGGTAATAACTGCTCATATATGACTGATTATTTACTCAGTTTAGCCTTGACCCCACTGTGCAAAGCATTTAATATTCTCGCAGCATTCGAATCTGAGGACATCGCCGGTAACGCGGACACACCTGGTGGTTCTGACATCCCGGTGGGTGGTCGCTGGGTGATGGGATACCCCCCTTCTCATTTACAAGGGATGCATCCCCGGTGCTAGATGACTCTGACGATGAAGGTACATATTGTGCTATAGATCGCTAATTGCTAATTTCTAAATAGCAGACTATTATCTCATATAGATGTCTATGAGTGTCGTTGGATTGTTAAAGCTAATTGTAGCTTCCTATTTGCTTGGGTGATTTATTTACATCGATGAACACTTGAATTAATAAATGGACATCTATGTTGTTTAATGGACTCTCTTTCAGGATTGGATACTGAAAATATCATATTGGATGTGGCATACGAGGGGGACGAGCTGTATTTGGGATGTGTTTTCAAAAACAAACGGGACTGTAAAGTTAAGATAGCTTTCCATGCCATAAATAGGAAGTTCAGTTACTGTAACGAGAGGTCCAACAATGACTTCGTAGTGGTGAGATGCCTCTCCGACACCTGTCTGTGGGGGTATACTCTGTTCGCATTGAGGATACCCAGTACTTCCAAATCAAACTGCGACGCTGCACCATAATTGTCCGGTCGATGTTCGTAGGCATTTCCACTGCCAAGCCACGACTTCCATCATTTCCGAAATGATGAGGGAGCGTTATGTGGGGGGAGCAGCAAGGACCAAACCCATCTGCTGTTGTACGGGTGATGCTCGAGCATCATCACGTTTGCATTTCTTATTGGAAAGCTTGGACATCGAGTGAGATGGCTATGGATCGGGCGAATGGCTCTGCTGCTGGTAGCTACAGCCTCTTACCTGCGTACATGCATCTGTTGGAGCTTAGCAATCCTGGGTCGATAACGGCCATCAAAACAGAGGAGGATGCAGCTGGGAACAAGCGCTTCAAATACTGCTTCGTGGCCTTGGGTGGTAGTGTCTTGCGTAAGGTGCTCATTGTGGACGGCACACACCTTAGAGGCAAGTACACGGGGTGCTTGTTGACGGCGAGTGCCCAGGATGGGAACTTCCATATCTACCCGTTGGCGTTTGCGGTCGTAGATGGCGAAAATGATAAAGCATGGGAGTGGTTTTTCCAGAAGTTGAAGCATATCGTGTCCAATGCGGAGACGTTGACCTTTGTTTCAGATCGACATTCGTCAATTTATGCGGGGCTGTATAAGGTATAAATGAATATAATCATCTATACTTGCTTGTGGTTTGTTACATGTAAACAAATATTACAAAATCGTTGCTTTTTCACTAACGTGTGGTTGCATGCCCGTTAACCTCGACAATCAGGAGTACCCAAGGGCCACCCACGGAGCCTGCATCGTGCGTCTACAAAGGAATGTGGTGGCTAAATTTAAGAACAAGGCCCTCGCGGGAGTAATCTCCAAAGCGGCTCGTGCGTATCAGAGATCAACCTTCCACGAGTACTTTGCAGAGATTGAGGGCATGTCACCAGAATGTGCTGAGTACTTGAACATCATTGGTTTCCACCACTAGACGAGATCCCATTGTGATGACGAACGGTACAACATAATGACAAGTAACATAGCGGAGTCTCTTAACGCCGTCCTGAAAGAATCTCGGGAGTTGCTAATTGTTTCTATGCTAGAATTCATCCGTGGTACGCTCATGTCTTGGTTAAGCAAAAGGAGAGATTCGGCGGCAAACCATACCTAACCGATGACTCCCAAAGTGGGGGAGCTCATTCATACCAACTACGAGCGCTTAATAGCTTGGAACGTCCTCCAAATCAACAAAGACCACTTCGAAGTTAAAACTCATCCTGGTCAATCTTACCATGTGGACTTCCACCACAAAACATGCACTTGTGAATAGTTCACCCATTTGAAAATACCGTGCTGTCATGCTGTCGCGGCTGCGAGTAAGGGTGGCGTTCATATCCCCACAATTGTAGCTGCAGAATATGAGACGTTTTACTGGTGTCTCACCTACCATGAAAGCATAAATCCGGTTTCTGCCTTGGACAGTCTATATGCGGTCCCTCCCGAGGTGGCTGCGATGAAAGTCCAACCACCGAAGACGAGGAGGCCCCCAGGTAGGCCAAAGCGTAGTAGATACCTTTCTACGAGGGAGTATAAGGTATCTAGAGTACTGCTATATATATTTATAACGATGTATAATGTCATATGTACATCTATTACTGACTCTAATTATCACGTACACATTTAGCGTCTGGGGAAGAAGGTTTTCCGCAAGTGCAGCCGCTGCAATGGGACTGGGCATAACCGCTCTTCATGCAAGTTGCCGATATGATTGTTCTCTGCGTTGTATGGTAATAGACTATGACACCTTGACATAATAACAGGTTGAGTGGAGAGTGACCATGCCAATATACATCCAAATTTTTTTTTTCCTCGCAGTTTGGAGCTTCCAATT